GATATGACAAATTCATTTGTCATTTAACAAATTCGATTGTGGGTGCTAATAATGCACTATCCTCAAAAAAGAATAATTTTTCATGTTCTCTAATAGGTTTGGATAAGTAAAGTCCAATATATACTCTTGAGGGGGTAACTTGTGTCAAGCATCAAGAATTCAAGCGGGATTTCAACGTCAGCAGTTTCATCGATCACTTGTCCAAGTTTTCCATCTTTGACTTTGCTTATCAATACAGAAAAAGATTATGTGCCCCTATCAGTGCAAGAGCGTGTAGATAAATGCAATCTCATATTCTTAGCTAACCTATAAACTTTACATTACAATCACATTTGTGAGAATTGCTGGTAGCACCCACAATTTCCTCTCTCTACGCTATGAGTAGACCTGAAAGAATTTGGATAAAATCACCTCCGAGTATAGCTATTTTCCCTGCGAATGGTTCATTTATGAAGTAATTATTAAAAAATCTCATTGCGTCTCTCATTTTTCCGAAAAAATTTAGTGGGTGACTCATGGTACTTGTCACTAATAATGTGACGAACAACTTTTTTTCAGCAGATTCCCACATCTTGACTTAAGAACCTCTTTCATACCTTCAATAAATTCTTTATTATCGGTTAATAACTTCAATGCTTCATATTATTCCTTGAATGCATTATGTAGAACATTGTTAACTGTTCTCAAGCGTTTATAATTTGTACATCCTTGTTGGACATTTAATACTTCTCAAGTAGTATAACTCTCTAGTTTCTGTAAGCACGTATTGTAGTCTGCCTATTGACGGTCGTTGTTGTCTTTGAACTATTTCCACACTTTGTGGTTGTACATAAAATATTCTCGAAACTCTTTGCATACATCAAATTTTATCCCGCATTATATTTTGTATTGAAAATCATCCAAGCTTCAAACATTGAGGCTTTATCAATAATTTCTTCGACAACATCTTTTAGTTTTTGTTGGTGTCTAAAGGTTACGAATTTTAGCCTTGGGTTATAAAAATTCAATCTCAGTACTGATCACTACCTTTGTTGTATTTCAAAAGAGAGGATTATCCAAGAGGCTTCACATGCAGATACGTAATGGCAATCAGAATACTTATTTGTTTCATAATACACCATAATATCAACAATGCCAAAGTAAGATTGTGTAACTGCAATAGTTACTTTATTTAGATCTTTATTTACATATTTAAAGAGATATTTGATTGATTTAGATTTATTTCAATGTTCAATGTTGTTTAATCTTGAAACCTCATCAAGAGTTGTGGGTTGTATGTCACAACAATTCAATTATCCAACTCGATATTCTTTTTCATTATATTGTGGTGACCTCTAAGGTTCTTCTTTTGTATATCAGGTAGTTATTCCCATCAAACGATGTCTTATCAATAAATTTTTTGGGAAAATGTTTTCACAAATTTATCATTCTCCATATATAGATATCTAGGATCATTTATGCTACATGGATCATGCATCAATAATCAAGTTACGAACTCATAAAATCTAGGATATTTATCTTTATTATGAACCTCTACACATGTCACACGATCAATTTACTCAAGCGATTGAAGTTTATCCCTCTAGTGTAACCATATTAAGATATATGTGCATGAAGCAAGCTTCTCATTTGAAATTCAAAAGAGTACAAACACGCACAAAATCATTACATTCAAATGACAATATTTTAAATTGAATGTCCATTTAAATTGTTTTTTACTATACAATATCAAATATTTAAACAACTTAATTTTTTTATGTTATATACCATTTAAATTTCACACACACACATACACACACACACATAAAATATAGGTTTACTAAATTATTACAAATATATAATTCTTCTCACCCCCTGAATTCAAAAAATACACGACAAAAACATTGGTGATTTTATTATTCTTCTAACAAACTTAGATTTCCGATCTTGTAATTTTAATATAAAAAAATCATCACTACAAGAATATGGCGTAATTGCAATGGCAGTTTCCGTTGCACTTTTTAAATATTTCCGTTGCTAAGGGTGATTGCAACGGGATTTCCGTTGCAGTTGTGCTGTTGCAAAAACCATTGTTGCAAATTCACTTCTGCAACAAAGTTTCCGTTGCAGCATGTTTGCATCAGATTGTTGCAACAGAATTGCCGTTGCAAATTGTTGCTACGGAATAACTGCAACAGTCATTCTGTTGCCATAGTTTGCTACGGTATTGCCGTTGCAACATATTGCATCAGAAATTTGCAACTATATTTTCCGTTGTAAACATTTGCTACGGAAAAAGAGCAAGAGCAACTCCATTGTTAATATTTGCCACAGAACAAACAATCGCAACAGAATTTGGTAACGTATCGACCGCAACAGAATGCTCTGTTGCAAAAATTAGAAAACCTACCAACCGCTTGTTTAGGGGATACTCAATTCTATACACAATCAATAGGGGATACTCAAACATTCTCAAACACATATGTATTCAGTAAAACTAAAGTTTCAATACTTTCCATAAAACAAAATAACCTTCATGTACATGTCAAACATCTGAATAATAAT